CCCATTTTTGACCCGCGCAGCTGGAGCAGCAAAGACGCTTCAGCTGCACGTCAGAACTAAACTTGTACAAGCATAAAAAATGAATCAGCTTGCGTGTTGTTGCTGCTGTTGCTGCTTGCGGTGTGAACGTAGCATAACAATAGCTTTGATAATGTTTACGTGCGCATCCATCAACTCTGCAGCTACATCTGAAAGCTTTAGCAGCTGTCGCTCCCATTTCAGCGAACACCAACACTGATACTGTATTGAACCTTCTATTCCATTCTTATCCCTCATGGTATCAAATACTTGTTTGCATTTTTTTAATACTGGATCTTGGACTTTTCTTCATTAATTCCACACTTCACTTCAAGGTGGAGCTGGATTAGCTGTGATATGCTATTTCCTTGTTTACCCCCTGCGCATACTTGCAGTATTTTACCTCCTTTGTTATTGTAGATATACACAAGGCCACTGGCGCCTCCAGAAATCTTTACATAATGACCAGATGGGGCACAAAGAAAAAAGAAATCACAAAGACTTAAGTAAACACCTACTCATATCTTGTTTTATTGTGGGATTTTTAATATTACGTTATTGTCTGTGCATAATGGGATGAAATGCAAAACTGAAGCAACTACTATATACACTGGCAGAAGGTATGACCAGTGGCCACCCTATGCAATGCCATGGCCACTCCCTGGTGGCGCCACTGCACAAGGGGCTTTATTTACTAAAAAACCGAGTGTAAACAAAAAAAAAAAAAAAAACAAATAAATCACCAGTAGTTCACAGTAGTCTTTCAAAAAAACTTTGTATGAAACCAGAGATAGTAACTGTTGAGTAAATTTCAAAAATATGTACCTTTAAATGCCTGTTAGAGCTTAGACAAATTTGTTGTTGTTGATATAAAGGTGTATGATTTTGTCAGATGGGTAGATGATACCGCAATAAATTGATTACAGACTTGTGAACTGAATTAAAGGGAAATCATATATAGTGTTACTATCATATATTCTAATCAATTCAATATTCTATAATTTTGATGATATACACATCTGTTTTTTACCCGCTAAACCATAGAGGTGTTTTGACCATAGTAATATACTGGTTTAGGATAGTTCATGTGTTTTATACATGGTATTAATTCTATTTAATTCATTTTTGTTTCCCATACAATATGCTGTGAAGGATGCATCATCTCTGTGTTACTAACAAACTTTTACATAATGAAGCTGCTGCTGTAATTTTCTGTTTATGCAAACCATGGAAAAAAATATATATATCCCAAAATTTCAAGACGTCATTTGACTTTCTTTTTTTTTTTTTTTCCCAGTTTGATGCTTTTGGCCCCAAAACTGCTATTATCAAAGAACTACATAGGGATCTGTAAAATGTCAGCCGCCACAATACAACCACAGGAAGTTTTCTGGAGGCATATCTATAGAAGCAGCCATCCCAAAGCATTTTATCAGTCTATTCACTCTGTTCCTTTATTCATCGTTTTTTCTCTCTTTTCTGGAAGGGAAGCACTGTTGGTAGAGGTCTAAAACACCCTGGAGGGGATGGAGAGATTTCAGGTGTCAGGGGAAAGAGAGGAAGTGTCAGAGAGGGATGTGAATAATAGATCAGACAGTGAATAGAGATAGAGTAAAAAGTCAGGAGGAAAGAATGGGGAGACTTTAAAGGTGGAAAAGAGGACTCTGCAAAAGTCTAAAAGAGAAGATGCTTAAGTGATTTGTAAGATGAGGGAAGGGTAGATCATTTACTGGAAGGGCAATCGTGATACGAAAACACAACATCTGTCCATCATCCCAGTCGTCCATCTGTCCCTCCCTCCTCCCCTGCCTCTTTCTTGCCCACAGCAGTCAGGAGTTGTTGCATAAGCCCCTGATTCATCTTTTATTGAGACTTCTGTCGACTATAAATGTCTCCCCTGTTCTGTGGAGTTACAAAAAAAAATCTGAATCCGGTAAAAATAAACTTCTAAAACCTAAAACAAGAAATTATGCTGTAATGTGGGAGGTTACAGCCTCATGTCATCTTAAAAAAATATTAGAAAAATTATACCTGACCTTTACTGTATAAATATTTATCTTTTAAGTTTTAGTTACAGTGCCTCATTAAGTATACATATTCATATTATAACCACAGATTTGGAGGCTTCTTCTCTTTTTAAATGGTTTTTCATATCTGAGAAATAGGAGAATTTTACTCAACCCAATTGTTGGATGCCATAAATAAAATCCAGTGCAAACTATTTAAAATGTGACCACAGTATAACTGCAGCTGTTCTGAGAAGGCCTCAGTAGCTGGAGAACCGCAAGATCAAACATCATCATGATGACCATGGAACACAGCAGAAAGGTCAGGGGCGAACGCTAATAATAAAGATAACATCTCTGGTGAGACATGGTGATAGCAGCATCATGTTGCTTTTCTTCAGAAGGGACATAGAAACTAGTCAGGACTAGGTATGTAAAAGGCTTGACTTATAGTAATTATTGAATAAAGGTTTAATATAGTGATAATTGTTGCACTCATTAATTAAAAACTGCTTGAAAGGAATTTGTGTGTTACTAGCTGCGTCTCAATTCGCAGGTTGCTTCCTTCAAAGGACCCAGCCTACCCAGCCTTCGGAGGACCCAGCCTTCGGAGGCTGCTCCGGAGGATCCTCAGCCATTGGTAAATGGGATGGTCTAGCCTTTGGAGCGCTTCCTGGTTGCGGCACGACGTCATCACGTCTACCCCAAAAACAGCGCCAAACAAACACCGACAGCTCGAGAAATCCGGAAAGAAACAACAAAAACAAAAAAATGGATATGGAAATTTTTATTTATTATTTTTTTATTATTATATACTTGTTATTGGAGGAGGAGAGTCGGTCATGACAGCAGCAAATCCGGTGACGGATTTTTCTCAGGCTGGCAGTGCGCAGTGGAGAGGTAACATTTATCTGTTATTATTTTCCCCCACAGAGGCCTGCTAATGATCATAATATACCAGTTATTAAACAAACGTTTGTCAACAGATTGACCAATATGTTTAGATATCAAATTTTATATTTAATTGTTAGACTTTATATAAGTTTATGTTTGTTTCTATGTTATATTTTTAGTAGCACCCACTAGGGGGCACTACTTCTCATTCTTAAGCGACGCCTCATTGGTATTTATGAGAGAAGTACTTCAAGGGCAAAGGCCTGCCATAGCAGAAACATGAATCTGTCCAGTCTGCAAAGGGATGCAGAATACACTTTATGAGGTTCTGTTTGTAAATTTAAACACTCCATAGGTATCACCTAAATAGCCCCCATTTAATCTTGCTGTATGGCAGAGTAGCATCGACTTCTTTAGTGGGCTCAGAAGGACGGGATGTAATAACTGAAAAGTTGAGGCCATTACACAAAACATCTGTAAGCTGACATAAACAGACATGCTAGCAATAGGGACAGTTGATGCAGAAGGGTTTTTTAGTTTGATGCACTGCATAGAGCCAAGTTTTAACATTCCTCTGAAAGAAACCACCTTTTTAAAAGAGCTGCTAAAAGCAGAAAGTCTCTCCTAGCACTGGTTGTTGGATTACACTAAAACAGAAAGCTGCATCACAGTTAGTATCCACATTTCCATGTGGCAAATAGTCTGACAGCATGTCAGTGCGACATGCCCTCTTTTTAATTCTAGTTTTTCACATATGATTTTTTGTTCAGTCACCCAATAGTTTTTTTTATCCAATAAATAAGTTAAAAAAAATGTCTAATAAATTTTTTTGGTTAATCAGTAAGCATCACACACAGTTGGCATAATAAATCTAAAATATAATGATGTACAACTTTATTTATGAATTCAGCACATTGTAAAAAAAAAAAAAAAAAAAAAAAAAAAACCAAAACAAAACAGAATTTGGGGAAAATGGCAGCTTATTAATTAATATTTAGTCCATGGATTGAATCAATCAACTTTAGATGAATTAATTAAACGATAACTTGCATCCCTAGTTAGAACTATTATAATACTGGATAATAACTGAAAACTGATTGAGGCTGCAAAAAATAAGATTGCGATTGAGGTTCAGCTTGCTAGAGAACGATCACTATAAACAGCCAGCTGGAGCTGGAAGGTTTAGTATGCTGTAAGGTCACTGTTAATTAAAATAATTCACAGGTTTCAGACTTTTGTAGATGTAAGTCAACAAACGTGAAGAAATGTCTTTGATTTTTTCCCTGTCAATTCATACATACAAACAACATCAGATAATTTACTTGTAAAAATACAATTTTTGTAGTTAAAACCCTGTAGCAATACAAGTAAGAACCACAAATTTACAAAGCTAGAGCTTTTTTCTGCATTTATAATATAGAATTTTGAAAAGAAGAACAGGCAAAGCTTTTAGTTTCTAGAAAAATGGTAGCAACAATCTCCCCCAAAGGACTTGCAGCTGTTGTTGCAGAAACAGATGGTGCTGCAAAGCACAGAAAGTAGAGGAGATCTGTGTTTTGTTGTCACAGGTGTTGGTTGTCAAACTATTTTTATCTAAATCTGAATAGAATCAATTGCATTGATTTAATGTTGTGATTTAATTACCTATATTCTCTATTTGACTTTGACCTTTATAAATAAATCAAAACTCTTTTAAGTTTAAGTACAGATTTACCTACAATTTTATATTTGTCATTATAAATAAACAGTAAAAAATATTGTTGCAGAAATAATACTTTATTGCTCTGTTTTTTCACCTTAGGTCGTTTAGGATCTGCAACGTTTGACATGAAATTGCTTTTAAACTAGAACCATTGCCCTTAAATGTTGTTTCCTACAACATTTGCCTGATGAGGCTGTCTGTCGCCTTCCTCCAACGTTAAATGAATCACAGTGAGTGTCATTCAGAAAAAAAAACAACAACCCACACATAAAACTTCTCAGAATCATAGCGGAAATCATACCTCCTGTAACACCAGGAGACAAATTAATGCAAAAAAAAAAAAATTAATTAAGGAGGAGGAGATCCGTGTTGCTCCCTACCTGAGCAGATCAATTTCATCAGCATGAACCTCCTTCACTGTGTTTCCTCTTGCAGCATCTCAACAGGCAGGGAGCCAACTGGAACTGCTCTCGGCCACAGCACTGCCTTTGTATGCGTGACTGAGGGGACAGCAAAAGAGAGAGAGACAGAGGAGGAAAAAAAGGGAAAGGGGATCAGTGGCACATTGGGGACAAAACAAAAAAGTGAGGTGCAGGCCTAGAGGCGGCACACAAAGACATCAAACAGCAGGTGGATCGACAGCAAATGAGAGCAACAAATGAAACAAAAGTGAGAGGAAGCTGTGCTGTTTCTCACAGAGGGAGGAAGCACAAGACAGATGCAGGAGTCACACACCCAAGCCTGGTTGTTTATAAAGCCCCAGGCTCTGTGTGGGTGTGTGTGTGTGTGTGTGTGTGTGTGTGTGTGTGTGTGTGTGTGTGGGTGTGTGTGAGAGAGAGAGGAGGTCCAGTGGTCGCCTACACCTCTGTGATCGTGTGTGTGTTCATTGCTCTTTCCGGAACATGGCCAAAGGGTTGAAATGTTCCCATCGATTCCTCAAACACGGACACATCTGATCTTGTTTTACTAGCAGGGAGCAACGCTTGAGGTTATTACTACAACTATTACAACTTAAAGGTAGAGGCAGGAATTATCATTGCAAACATAAAACCTTCCACACAAATAATGATTTTAAACCTATTAATACAGCATATTTTTTTACAGTTTCCTTTTAAGATATACCCCTTTTCTGTCTTTCAAGCTTTGTTTTTATTCTATCATTATTTTTACCCTATTATATCAGGCTTGTTCATTTATTTATGTAGGCTTGCAGAGCGCTTTGGATACTGTAAAATAAATCATCTAATCTGTTATACATACATAGTCATTTTATATGTCATGTTATATCATTTACAGGATATTTTTTAAATTTATAAAATCTGGAGTAAAATGATAGAATATAAAATATTCAATATTAGTTATAATAGATTATTTGATTAATGAAAATGAGAGCGTACACTACACTCAATTATAATACAATTATTATGTTTATTATAATTATCATGTTTAATATTTATATGAAAATCAATAAAGCAATTGGGTGTTTTATAACTTGATTTCTTTATTTATCTTTTGGCCTGGAAATGCAATTTATCTCGTTTCCTGTTTAAGCACTGAGAAAAAGGCTTATAAAATGTATTTGAGATATGTTTTTGACACACTGAAGATAAATGGATTTAAACTTTTACACAATTTTTGTTTTGCTTTTAATGTCTACTTGTAGTCAAAAATTAGAGCAAACTATAGTTGGATCTTTGTTATGGTGCAATTCCTAGCTTCTGTAGTCATTTGGACATTGATCACCATATAGGTAGGTTCTGTTTAGCGCTTGTCTTAATACTATGATGAACAGAAAATATATTGTAATAATTACAGTTAAATTAATTACCCTCCTAGTAAATTTCTCATTCAATATGAATGTGTAGGAGTGTCTATTTCGATATGAACAGATCTTATATTGTTTTGTTTCTTCAGTAGATTCTACTGTAAGATTCCCATTTTCACATTGCTTATGCTGGTCAGCTAACTGTTTTATGGACGCCTCCATCTTTTTCATAACCTGTCCTCCCACTAAACTCTACTCAAACAGAATACATTTAAAAAAATTTTCATGAAGTAAGAGGGTTTTGGTGAAGACAGAGAGATAAAATAGAAAAGGAAGAACTTTATTGTTTCATGGAGGGAAAGCCTGGTGTTTCAATGGCAAAACAAGTAGAAACAGCAAGGCAAGTTTATCTGTATAGCAAATTACAATAAAATGTGAAGTATATGAAAGAAAAAAAAAAGGTGAAAGGACATAGCAATGGGAAGTAAAGAAAAGGAATATTTCAGCGTTGATTTAAAGCAAGCACTTTTACTGTTTTCTAAAAAACATATGGGTGGTAGATGAACTTAGAGCTGAGCTTTTTCAATCTTTGGTTCTGGTTTATGGTTCCTAAAATTAGTAGAAGTAGTCAGCTCTTCTCCTATGAAACCAACTACATCTACGTCCACTTTAAAAGGGAGTCTTAAAACGTTCTTTTTTGATAATGCTTACAGTATGGTTAGAATGGCTCGGGTTATCCTGATATCTATTGTTATGCTATTATAGGCCAAGGTTGCTGGAGGACATAGGGGCCACTTTGCATCAAATACACTTTATTCTACTTTTCAATGTTTTTTTTAGCTGAAGGGCTAAATTTATCTAACTCTTTCATATCAGAGTACTCTCATCTGGACTGACTCTCGTCTTAGCTGTGACAACATCCTGGAGGGAAGTATCAGCTGGGCTGCTGCCATCAACAAATATAGATGGTAGATTTTGGCCTGTTTTTAGGTACTTAGTCCTGTTTCTCTCCTAGACATGAGCTCATCTTTGACCATGTCTTATTGTATGCACTCTCTTTGATCCTTTTTTCCCATGAAAACCAGCACATAGCTCATCTGTTTAACTGTTTTTTAGACAGAGCCACCTGTTGAGCTATTTTATTTAGGGATCAATTCTTCCATGGCCCTTTTGTAACCCAGTGACCTTGGCAAACGGCTACTCACATTGAGCCTGGTTCTACTGGAGGCTTCTTCCTGTTAAAAGGGAGTGTTTTCCCCCTCCTTTGTTACTTCATGTATGCTCAGTATTAGGGTATTGCTGAAGAGTCAACTACACAAGGCGAGTGAATTTTGCAATACATAAGCTGAATAGATTTTAACTGTATGTAGGGTAAACTTGAACCAGAAAACCCTAGAGGTCTGGGTGTTAATACACTGGCCATAAGCCTGTGTTGTATTTTGATGCTGATATTCAGTTATTTACTGAACAACAGATGTATTTTCAATTCAATTCTTTGAGATAGTGTCAATTTAAGGACTTTAGAACTTGGGTGATGCGCTCTACTATCTTAGTTTTAGTGAGGACAGTGACAGCAGCATCTTTAGGTGATAGAAGGCCACCCGTTATCATATTAATCATACGCATCCCTGTCCTCTGAGTAGAATTGATTTTAGTCAAAAGCTTTATTAGAAAGGTCAACCCAGTTTTCCAAGGACGACACTTATTCTTATCATTCAACAGTGTTGAATGCTGAACTAAGATATAATATGATCAGTACATTGTTTCTTCCACATTCTGCATTCCTTGTTAGGAAGTTGTTCAACTAACAAAACAGCCTTTTCAATAACCTTAGCGATGAAGAGGAGGTTTGAGGTTGGCTTGTAGTTCTCAGTAGCCTACTTGCAGTTGACTTGTACTGTAGTTCTGCAGTACCATCTTGTACAAGTGGCTCTTTTCAGCGCTCATCAATTGATCCTCCGCCATCTGTCAGGGTCCAATAGCCTTTGGTTAAAATGTAGGGTAGAACGTGGACAGGTTGCCAGTCAGTTGTGGGGTAATGCAGAGACTCACAGACAGTAGGAACAAGAACTTGGTCGGTGATTTCCCATTTTATTTGTCAGAATTGTAACATTTTGTCAAGATCAGCTGTAGCAGAGAACTTATGCACTGAACTTGATATGTATATATAGAGTATCCCTCTTATCTTCCAGGAGTTTCGATAAAGATATTTGCAAATTCAGTGAAGTCTCTGGTAGAAACAAGAAAGGCTACAGGTATACACAAGACTAAATATCACGAAAAGGATAACTGAACAGAAAATTATGCTTTACTCAGCTCCTCACTGGATTTCTTACAGCTGCATCTAACCTCTAAATCGAGACACTTAGTTGAATCAGATATCATCATCATCTGTGTACACAGAACAGTATGGTGATGCATGATATTTACAGATTTGAGTCGGACGAAAACACTTCATGTTGACAAATGCAAATTGTCACCTTAGTCACTGTTCAGTCAAAGCAAGACAATATTACATGCTCCATCTGTGAAAAACATTTGAGAAGGATTATAATATAACCACTTACCTTGCTAAGATGTTTTCTGTGTATGTGTGTGTGACTTGAAACTACAATCCATTCTGCACCGCTGTTATGTAAGCGTCCCAGCCACTCTGGCAGCTCAGCTCAACCAACTTTCTTCTCTTCCTTGCTCTCTCTCAAACACACACAGCAAAATGAACACACACATACTGTGGGTCTTACAGTTGGGTTTTTTTTTTGTGTCATTGTGTGAGGCAGAACAGAACTCACAGGATTAGTGTCATCTCTCGCCCCACAAAAGAACTGAAGCAAGCAGAAGAGCTGCTAGACTTTCTAAGGAAAGAAACATTCAGTAATTCCAAACCTGTGTCAATTTCATAAGAAAACTGTAGGTGTACTCTTCATGCAGGGTTCTAAATACAAACCTAACATAAGATAAGTTCCTGTTTTTAGGACCGTTAATTATAGATTCACCTGAAGATGGGTTTAAATATTAATACAGAAACAGTTGAATAACAGAGTCTGACATTTTCTGATGGTTATGAAGGAACGGGAGACAACCGCATCAGGTTTTATTGTCTAATGCTGCATGAGAGGGAAATAAAACATACCAAAACAGAAAAAAAAGCTCTACCAGCAGAACCCTGTTAAGAGTCCAAATAATATATAATATAATTCTTGGCAAATTTGTTTAATGTCTGTGTAACTAATGTTACCTTTTAAAAAGTATTGCCATGGATTGTTATGACAAGTTAAGGCAGAAATACATTGTATAAGTTTTTGCCCTTTTCGGGCAGATTCTCAAGTTTTTTTGATCAGCCGAGTTTCAGCCTTATTGTGAGTCCTGCAGCATACAGGGGGTAACGAGGGGTGATTAGCATATCACAACCACCTCCCAATCAGGAATCTTGAGTTTGGGGTAAAATCAAACATGTTTAAATTCAGTCGGCTATTGTGAGGTTTTCGGTCTATTGAAGCAGAGCTACGAGCCTCTACAAGCTGATTTATCTGAACCTCATGCACTGCGCAAGTCCAAACAAAGTAATCCTTCTTCTTCCAGATTTACCAGCGCCATCTCTCAGCCCTGAGTCCGAGGGTGGGTTTTGGACGTAGAGTGTGAACTGTTAGATCGCATCAAAGCATCATACAGTCTAAGAACATGTATCGAAAGCTGTGAACCTTTAAACCTTGCAGTTTTGTCATACAGTTTGAG